TAAAATTTTATTTTTTTAATTTCAAATTTTCATTTATATAAATCTTGATTTTTAAATTTTGAGAATAAAATAACTCAGATTTAATTTTCAAACTACTATTACGTAACTGATTTGGGTGGTAATGCTAGGTGGGTTCGACGAGGCTTTTTAACTGAGTATGAAAAATTTCTAATTTTCATACTCAGTCAAAAAGCCTCGTCGAAACCTCGTTAATAGTGCTAGTAAGAAGCTAAATTAGTGCTTTGCTATGAAAATTTTCTGTTAGAGACCTATATTATTATTAATTTACTCTAAATCAAGGATATTTTATCGCTTTTGCAAAAATGTAAGATTTCCCAAAATAATCTTGTAATAAATTATTAAAATTGCCAACTTTGTACTAATAATGCACTACATATTGCTTATTGGAAATTATCAGATTTTTGCAAAGTAGTATTACACAAAATTTGAACTCGCAATGACAAATAAATTTGTAAGATTAATGACATACTCACCGACTAAGTTTATCCATCCAAACTATGTTGGAGCTAGCATTTTGTTTGCTCGTATCACCTACATATATGCTTTTAAGATACTAATAGCATAAAATGACTAATGAGCACGATAAAAATACTATATGAAAGCGATGTAAAATTAAATAAAATTCAGATACGTTATTAAGATCCTCGATATCATTTCTTAAGATTTGATTTTCTCGCTTACGGCGTTCAACATCGACTAAAATAAGCTGATCTAATTCATCTACATACTAATCAAATTCTTTAGTTAAGATAGAAAAATTTGCCTTGATTGATTCCACCTGAATATATCTTAGCTCTTTCAACTTCGTAACAATATTCGCAAAATTTTCTAACTTCCGAATATTACACAAAATCTTCTGCAAAACTGTATAATTCTTTTTATTAAAAAATTCCTTATTTTCATCTCTTCGAAACTTTAAAGAACGAATCGCTACTTCTACAGCGGACACTCGATTGAATATCAAGACACAGATACCTTTGTTATACTCGGCATCATAGTATATATCAGAAATTTTTTTAAAAATTTGTGTAATGTCACTAAAGATTGGAAGGAATTTCGAAATCTGAATAAAGTTTTCTTCGGAAACTGCAGTTTGTTTAATGTGAGGTTGATAGACATACTCCGGATACATCGCTTTATGCCTTTCGATAGCGACTTTTGCCAAGACCTTAAAGAAAATTTTCACTTTAGGTGGCTGATTATTCCAATCCTCACTTATTGACTTAATGCTATAACTCTTTAACTTTACTGGATCATGCTTTTTCAACCGTGCAAAATACTCCTTGCTGAACAAAATAAATATGTTTTGTGGCCGGGTATTTTTTGAGAATTTTTTATTTTACGTGGAGCAAGGAGTTCCTCTAGTGATAAAGTAAATTTATAAGGGAGGTCCTTCAACATTTCAATCAGCAAAATCTCATGGTTACCCTGAAGGTTAGGTGAACACGAGGGATTCTCATGAACTATTATGAACCTTTCGCTATGTTTGGAGATTAGAGAAGAACAGTTAAGTAATAATTAATGAAGATTCTATTAATGCACAGAGTTGATGATAATAATTTTTGTGATTTTTTAAAAATAAACTAAATACTTACTCATCCATAATTTAAAGCGGAAATAAAAGTTATAAAAATTGTAAATACAAATGGCAAAGATTTTATTCATTTCCAAAAGTAACCTTACACTTTATGCATATTGTAAATCAAACCTATTCAAATTGCTTATTATTTCCTAGTGGGCAAAATTCCATTTCCATTTAAATAATGAAATGCAAGTACTTTAACTCTCTTTACAATGTGTCATATGTTACGTTAATAATTTTTTTTAATAATTCACTACATCGAAAGTTTTGAATTCACTATATCGAAAGGTTTTTATATAAATTGGTTTTGGGATAGTTTCATTATATGAGACTGTCGAATGTTCCTTTTTTAATGATATTACCGTATTTAAATAATAAAGTGCGACATTTTACACGCCGGAGAGTTTTAAAAAAGCGTTAAAAAACTACTACAAAAAACTTTTTTTTTTGATTGTTTTTCTAAATTTGTAAACTAAATACGTACAATATGAATATATCAGGAGAGCTTATGGCATTAATAGACATGGGAACAATTACACTGTACAATTATGACCGTTTTACAGATATTAAAATGGGGGTTACGGGGAGGTTTTTTCTGCAATATGCAAACCTGAAGGAATAACTATTGCGTTAAAGAAATTACTTACTAACTTAGACTTTGATAAAAAGGCAACTAAAGAATTTTTAGAGGTTGGTAATCTTTCATATAATACCATAATAATTCGATACTTTGCCTATTGTTTCATAAATTTTATTCTAGGTGCAACTTCTCCATAAAGTAGAACAGCCAACTACTTGGTATAACTCAAGGTAAAAATATTTATTGTAGATTTAAATTATATCAATAAAATTTCGATCTTTGATTTATATATTAATAGAGCCTGTGCATAAGCACTACGTAATGGTCTTGGAATATGCAAACGGAGGAAATTTACATGATTATTTAAGAAATAATTTCGAAAATAATGAATATAAGTTAAAATTTGAAGAGCAACTATGTTTTGCTAAAGACATTGCGCTTGGCTTGAAATTTTTGCACAAAGAGGATATTATACACCGTGATTTAGTAAGGATTCATATATGTTTCAAAAAAATAATAAGCTTTTAATAATTATGTCCTCTGTATTTATATAGCACTCAAAAAATATTCTAATCCATAATAAGCAAGTGATGATAGCAGACCTAGGACTGTCCAAATTATTTAGTGATGATGCTACAAGAACTAGGACAGGTGAATTAAAAGGTACAATTGCTTATTTAGAACCGCAATGTATTTTGGACCCAAAGTATAAGCGCGACTTTAAATCTGATATCTATAGTCTCGGTGTATTGTATTGAGAGTTAACTACAGGAAGATCGCCTTTTCAAAACGCAAGTACACCCCAAATTCTTCTAAATATAGTTCAAGATCTTCGAGAAGATCCAAATCCAGCCCCCCCATTAAATATGTAAATCTTTACAAAAGATGTTGGGATTTATCTCCAGAAAATCGGCCACAAATAATGAAGATGATATTGTTAACAAAATAAAGTCGCAGGCTGATAAAAAATTTGACGAATATATTCTTAAAACCGAGCAACGCATTTCTAGTTCAAATACAAATATTGCAAACCTGCTCCAAGAGTTCATAAACCTGTATATTAAGGATATGGTTACTAATTCCGATGATACTGTAAATGACATAAATAACTGGATTAAAAATAACACTAAAAATTCGAAAAAAATTTTTGATTTTACCATGAAATTTGAAATAAAACATCGTGAGACAATTCTAGCATATTTTTATATGAAAGGGTTTGGAACAAATAAAGACTATAAGGAATGTTTATCTTGGTGTAAAAAGGGTTGTGAAAAAGAAGATATCTATTCTTATTATGAAGCTGCGTATTGTTACAGGTACTATTTTGGTACTTTTGAAGATTATAACGAAGCTTTTCGTTATTTTAATCTAGCGGCAAGTGGCGGAATTTTAAAAGCAAAATGTGAGCTTGCTATAATGCATATGAATGGAATGGGTTGTGAAGAAAATAAAGCTAAAGCGTTTTGTTTGTTTAAAGAAGCCGGTGAACAAAATAAATTAGCAAGTTGTATGATTAGTGATTGGTATTGGAATAGAAATAAATTTAATTGAAGCTTTAAAATATTACAAAATTTGTTGGAAAAAATGGGAATACCCAAATGCAATAATACGAATACCTTTAATCGAAAATAGACTGGTATGTAATTATTTTGTTTATAACGTTAACAAATAGTTTCTGATTAGTTGATTTAATTTACTAAGGGAATACCTATAGAACAAAGATGCAACTTAAGGTAACATAATCTTTGCATCGTTATTTCAACTGAATAATTAACGTTAATAATCATTATCATGCATTGATCTAATTGAGTAAGGACAATAAACAAAATATCACGAATCCATTTTCGTATAACAAATAGGGCAAAAATCCGGATAGAATTTGCATATAAAAAAATACATTAACAGAATCTGAGTATGGCAAGAAAAAATATGTTTCGAATAATTGTAAACAAACAGGAAATTAAGTCTGAAAATATTTTTGAAATCGAAAATTGTCTTGAAGTTTGGAAAATAGCACAAAAAAAGTTTCTATTTATAGTTGATACTAATCTTGAAACCTTATATATTACCTCTGGCATAAAGCCTGCATGTCATGCATGAGTTTTTAACTCATGCAAGGTTAACTTCAATCAGCTACTAACAAATCGAAAATAGAGACGCAGAATCTTGGCGTTGTATGGTCACGTCAAAAAGATGAACAGTAACGTCAACAGTGTCGTAACAGAGTACTGTGTCTAATAGCTGGCACTCATCACAACCAAATTTTTGACTATAACTCTAATATTAGATGTAATATGGGATGGGATGGACGATAAAAGTAATATATTGCAATTTCTTGAAAAATAAAGATAAATGTAATTTAACTTATTGGTGTATTGAGAGCCATCAAGGGGAATTTGTCATTTGGTTTCAAGTTTATTGCTTACCAGACTCAATCTATTTGTAAATTATAAATTTAAAATAACAGTTTTTTTCTTGATGGCGTTCATATGCACTTACAAAATATATGAATTGAAGTTCTAATCATTTTCATTAAGTGAATGCATCCAATTAATAATCCTTTATTTTGCCATGTAATAAACATTTTTTCGAGAATTTTATAATATAATAATCTCAGGACATGTTCTTACGTCATACTACGATAAAATATAAGGATAAGCTATTATGAAAGTGGTTATATTTCGAAAATTAACGTGGTTGAAAATATTCTATAGGCATTTACTCTACAACAAATGAATTATGATGCGTTATCTAACTTTACACGATCATTGGCCAATCCGATTCGTTTTATCCGTTAAAATTTTAATAATATAGTTCAAAAACAATCGAAATCATCAAATATTATATATGATATTCTTGCTATAAAATTAATTAATAAAGGAATATTCCATATTTAAAGAATTAATAATAACCGCATAAGTAATCGATATTTAGAATTTCATTATTGGGATTTTGAGTCATGAATTTTATTTTTCTAAAAGCTTCTTTAAATGTTCTAAATGACGAGATTTATTGACATATCATAATAATTGAAGTATTGCCATTATTTCATCAAATCTGGCTTACTCTACCGCAACTCGTGCTACGTTACAGATTAGGGCGAAGAAAAATGAGCTAAGATAAGTAATACCGGATTAATAAAAGCTAACAATGGACATTTTGTTACGGAAGAGCAAACCAATGCAAAGTTAGCTTCTGCCTTAAGAGGAAGGTCACGAATGAATGAATAGCATGAATGAATAGCAAATGCGTACGAACGATAGCAAGGAGATTCAGGGAGTAATATCTACGAGAATCATTTTTTTAATATATTCTATAAAGGCTATGCATTTATTAAGGTTAATTATCACTAAAGTCTTCCTTACATTATGGCCAGAATAAATATTTAAGTATACCTATTCATACTAACAGATCTTGAATAACAGATGATCTGATAATCATATCGATATCACAGCACAGATGATGAAATTGTGGCTTTGCAATTGTAATAGTTGTTAAACTGGTTGGATTGCCGCTACCCGAACTTAATATTAAAAGAATTGTTTAAACAAAATAAAAATTTTTGATTGAAACGGTAACGAGAAGGAACCATTCGAATATTTCAAAAAACCACCGAATTGGATCATTCTGTAGCAGAATATATGGTGGTCTTTGTTATCAAAATTTTATCCACTTTCAAAAATCTGTTGAGATGGACGATTATATTGGAATAAATACCGTTTGTGTGAATTATTCTATGGGAATCAAGGTTGAAAAAGACGAACATAAGTTTAAAAGTTAGCAATTGTTATCGTAAAGAAACTGGAATTATCAAAAAAGTCCGCTGACATGGGTAATACTAATGGGATGTTTGTTGTTATAGTGAGGGATTTG